TGTATAGTATGAAGGTTCAAGTTCTTTGTGGTCTTTGTTTTATTTACTCTACTGGTGGTAGGCCAGATTTGTCCCTTAGGCTATATCTTTCCAATCCCTGGTCTAGAGTATCCTTACTTTTAGTGTTACTTTGCCCCACTACTAAAGCATACCCTTTCTGGAATTCGTACTGAATGTCCTGTGTTTTCTCTTCACTCTTGCTGTTAGAAACACAAAGATTTCTTGTCCTCTGTGTACTCTGGTAATTTTTCAGCTGATTGTTGTTGTTAGGTGCTGTTGTGCTGGTTCTGACTCATAGCGATCCTATGTACAAAGAACAAAACACTGCCCAGTGCTGCACCATCCTCACAATCGTTGTTATGCTTGAGCCCATTGTTACAGCTGCTGTTCAATCCATCTCATTGAGGGTCTTCCTTTTTTTCACTGACCTTCTACTTTACCAAGCATGATGTCCTTTCAGGGACTGATCCCTCCTGATAACATGTCCAAAGTATGGGAGAGGAAGTCTCGCCATCCTCTCTTCTAAGGAGCATTCTGGCTGTACTTCTTCCAAGACAGATTCGTTCATTCTTCTGACAGTCCATGGTATAGTCAATATTCTTTACCAACACCATAATTCAAAGGCATCAATTCTTCTTTGATCTTCCTTATTCATTGTCCAGCTTTTTGCATGCATGTGAGGGGACTGAAAACACCATGGCTTGGGTCAGGCGCTAAATAGAAGATTTCAAAGGGCTTCCAAATGGTAACTTCCAGTTACTTTTATTCCCTTGGAAGTTATCATTTATTTCCCTTTGTGGATTTTACCCTACATATATACAAATTAGAATTCACACAGACTTAACCATATCTCTGGATCTCTTTCTCTACACAGCCTCCTTTTTCTGCCACTCTGCCTTTCAAATTCTAGATGTCTCAGGCTCTTTGTCCTCAACTCAGTGAGACCCGTCTTTTCTGCTTGACATACCCTTCCTGAGCTACAATCTGGAAAGTGACCCCAAGCAGAAATCTGGAGTCATCATAGGATTTGCCTATTTTTCCCCTTCTTTAACAGATCATAGTCCTGGGCTTTCTGTTTTTAAATGTCTGAAAACATCTCTTTTATATAATATGTCTCATTTATGAGTTGTTTATGGCAGGAGGATAATTTCATACCTTCTTACTCCTTCATAGCTGGAAACAGAAGTCCTCTCATTACTTATTTTGATGCTCCAATTGTTTCAGACTTGGACAGTGAATTCTGCTCAAAGCTGGCTCTTTAATCCTTTCATCACGACTCCATCGTTTTGAACACTTCCTAATTTTCTGGCAAAATAAAAAAGAAATTCCCAGGCTTGTCTTGAATTTTCTTTTCTCTGTGCAAAATGGGCTGCTTTCCAAAGAATCTCAGGTTTCTTGTAACGGTGATAATATTTAGATAGTTTAGGCTTTGGGGCAGACATGTGACATATAATTTAATTTATATAAAAATATTATTATGGTTGCTTTATTAATTAATGGACTATAGAGGTCAAAGGTAGGAGGGTATTGCAATAAAACCATGAGAGATCATAGTGGCTTGGACAAGATAGTAACAGTAGAGATGATGATATATATTCTACTGGTAGGGTTGTCAGTTGCTAGAATCACTGAAAGAGTATATGTGAGTTGTGAGATAAAAAGTTATACATGATGACTCCTAGAGTGTTTTGGCCATCTGCAGAGGTGGATGCTGCTGCTACTGATGATAAGACTGATGATGCCACACACATGCCAAGAGGCTATGTAAAGGGTTATTACTCCCATAATCTGAGGAGATCAGGGTGGCTCCCAAGGATGTTTGAAAATGGCTTGAGAGAGCAAGGAAAGGAGACTGGCTTGTCTTTTTATGTGGTTAGGAGGCAAGACCAGGGTGAAGGTTCCTGCGCACCTGTAGGACACAGCATGAGGGGGAATACTGGGCTTTCTTAACCTGCCCAGATGTACAGAACAAGGGAAAGAGAGAGGACTGAAGCTTAAAACCTATGGGCAGTCAAGTCAAACATCAGAAAATGGAGTCAGACTCTTTACTGGATAGAGCTCCTTGCAAATATTTTTCACTGAGTGACTGGAAGCTTACAATTGCCATTAACAGAAATGAGGAAGACTGTGCAATGGTGAAATTTGGAAGTTAAGCCTCAGGGTTTTAATTTTGGCATGTTAAGCTTCAAACGTGTCCAAGATATATACTGGAAGGTCTCAACTTTTATAATGTATTTTCTTTTATAAAACTAAACTGCTCACCAAGAGGGTTACTACCTAATTTAAGGAATTTTTTACAATAGAAATCCAGTCTTCACAATTTCATAAGAACTTTAATATCAGAATCACTTAAACACGTATGCCCTACTGTTAGGTAGCTGATTTCTTTGGACAAGACCACAGCTATGGAAAATAATTTGGAGACAGGTAAATAACATTAGTTGATAATTTTTCTGAATATTTTTCTAAAAATTAACTGTAGGTTATTTTATTGGTAAAATGCATTCTAGCAATGAGCTTTTTGTTAATACTGTAGGGGCTTTCTGTTCAAATTTATTCTTGTGTAATATTTGAATTATTGTGTTTTTTACTTACACAGATGTTTGTTTAAAAATTGTAAAAACTTAACTTAGTCATAATTATTTTTCTAGAATATTACTAATATTGATTACAAAATATATTTGGATCTATAATGTGTTTCCCTTTTAGGAACATGTCTGAATTATTTTCTTGTTTGTTTTAAAAGAAGTAGATTTTATCTTGATTCTATCACTCCGGGGAAAAAGCACCTTAAGAGCCGGTTTTGTTTTTATTCCCCAAACAAATTGGAATTGACAGAATCAATACAAATGCCAACTTGTGTAAAATTAAATGATCTAGTAATTTCTCAGGTTCTCAATAGCCCCATGAGAAAAAATACGTCTGGTAGGCAACACCACCTTTTTTTGTGCCTAGATGCTGTTGTGTCTGAAATAGTTGCCTTGGTATCCCTGTTCGTTTTTTAATCCAGCGGGTTTAAAAATAATTGTAAAGACAACAGACCTGGGTTTCTGTCGCACCTCTGTTTTTTGTTTTTGCTTTTGTTGTTGTTGTTGTTGTTGCTGTTTTTTAAATAAGCAAATCACTGTAAACTTATACTCTTTATTTTTCTCTTCTATAAATGAGGTGGTTAGTATAAATGATCTCCATTCTTGGCTAGCTCAAAAATGCTTCAGTGTTATAATTCTAGATCAAGCTCTATAACTGAAACATTAAAGGTCTTTTCTCTTTCCCCCAATCTGCTAAAGCTAAATTGACATGGGCACCTAAATAAAAATAATACATTCTCAAGCTTCATGAAATAAAAATGTTAGCAAGTAACACAGACCAGGAAATTTTGTTAGAGGCAGAATGCATGGTTGAAATATTTTTTCAAAGGTTTTTCAAGGGGAAAGGATACTTAATTAGGTAACCTGGAAAAAAGCAGTCCAGGAGCACTTAGCACATAGAAGGGCTAAGAGCCTTCAGAACATCAGTTTTCTAACCAGTGGCTTCCATGTGGAGTTCCATTTATCTATGCACACTTCTTCCCTCTTGGCCATCTACTGTCTAAGGTGTGAGAATGATCCAGAGCTTCTATATGAGGTTTTCAGAACACTTTACAATAAATTCCCACCTGTTCACCTCCCTACCTCTAAGCTATACTGACTCTCAACCATCAGACAACTTGCCTATGAAGTGTTATCAGTTCCTCTCCTGGCAGGTAGGAAAGACTGAAAGAAAGAAAATCTCTTATCCTGTGAATCTGATGTTCCCAGTTGGGTCTCTGAACAGCTTTTCACACTGAAATGTTATTACCCATAATGGAGTCCCTGGTTGGTGCAAATGGTTAACGCACTCAGCTGCTAACCAAAAGTCTGAAGGCTCAAATCCATCAGAGTTCCTACTCAGAAAGGCCTGGTAATCTACTTCCAAATAAACAGGTATTGAAAACACTGTGGAGCTCAGTTTTACTCTGACACACATGGGGTCGTAATGAGTAGGAGTTGACTCACTGGTAACTGGTATAGTGGTTATGTTCTATTGTAGTATTGGAGCAGTATAATAATAAAACTTTAAATGTGCATATTGAAATGCTTTATCATTTCCAAGGCACTTTATTTTTCTCATTCATTTATTTAACTAATTTCTACTGACTGCCTACCAAGGGCCAGGAACTCTTCTAGGCACTGGTGATATCTACATTATTCTCTTTTTATTTTAACATCTCTAAGATTTTGCTATTTTTTTTCTCTTTTTGCATGGAGAAAGTAAAATTCATTAGGAGTAGGGATGATTCAAGTTATATGTCTAATAATAATCTGCCCCAGAGTTAAAGCATAGGTCCTCTGTCACCAAAAGCATTGTTTTTTCTCTTCAGCATTGTCAACACAGTTGGCATTGTTTTGCGCTAGAATTGCTTCCAAAAATCCAAACAATTGAAAAATAAATACGCATTTTGGAGAAAAATGTATCGGGAAGTCTGTCATTGCTTATATATGCCTAGCCCTACTTCCTAGGAAGTGTCTTATCTGCTTCTGATAAATATAGGGGTGAATGGATGCTAATGCAATGTACTTGTAAGTATTTCATAATGCATGAGCTCTTAGGACCCTAGAGGTTTTGTTTCAGGATAAAAAATGAAGTCCTCACTTTGGCTGTCAGATCTAATATATATCCTCACCACAGCTTAAAAGAAATGCTGCATTTCGGGGAACTTAGGGTATTTTCCTAGATCAATAAAGTGATATTTCATTTTGTTTTTTTTCCATTTGTGAGTGATCTTTCTGAGTGATCCATAGGCTAAAAGCCTGGGGGGTGGGGGGGATTAGACGAGACAGAAGCAGTCAGATACTTCAAGCTCCGCAGAACACCATTTCCTTTATATATTGAAATGAATCTACTCTTACTGGCTTTCGACTTCACTGAGTGTGTTGGTAGCACTCCCTCATTCTTCTTTTGTTTTGTCTTTTTTTTTTTAGGTTACTGCCCACATGGTTATCCGGAATGTCAGAATGGCAAATGTTACAGGCCAGCACAAAGCTGTAATTTTGCGGGTGACTGTGGACATAATACCGATGAAAATGAGTGTGGTAGCTCCTGCACTTTTGAGAAAGGCTGGTGTGGCTGGCAAAACTCCCTGGCTGAAAACTTTAATTGGGTTTTGGGGGTTGGCTCTCATCAAAACCTAAGACCTCCTACAGACCACACACTTGGAAATGAAACTGGTAGGTTATTAACTTGTTACAGTTGCTTTAATCTTATCCGTAATATACATCACACTGTTTTCCCTGAAAGCAACTGGAGAAGGCTGAAGAGACGGACCACCACGGTGCCTCTGCAAGTAAATCAAACATTTAGTGAGTAATCAAAGTCTAACATTAATGGCTGTTTTGATAATTGTAACTAGACGATAATGTGTTCTGCCATCAGGCATTGTTCCTAAATGCCACACACTTGTAATCAATAACCCCAAATCCTGCCACTCGGTTGATCATTAGCAAGTCATTTAACTTTTTCAGATTCTTAAATGCCTCGTCTCTCAAGTGGAGATAATAAAATCTGCCCTGTGTACCAAACAGGGTTGTGGAGATCAAATGAGTTGATGTATGTGTACAAAGGAAAAGCAGGTTGAAAACTAGAGGTGCTGAACAAATGCAGCAACAAAAGCACATATGATCGGGAGTGTTTGGCCTGGCTCATTTTCATGTAAGTAGCTGAGGCCAAGCCTTAGACTCATTGTTCAAGGATCAAAAGACATTAGCACATTGCAGACATTGTTGTTGTGTGCCATCAAGTTAATTCCGACTCAGCGGCCCTATAGGACAAAGTAGAACTGCCGCACAGGGTTTCCAAGATTATAATCTTCATGGAAGCAGATTATCACATCTTTCTCCTAGAAAACGCTGGTTGTTCGAATCGCCGGCCTATTGGTTAGCAGTGAGCACTTAACCACTGTACCACTGGGGCCCGCAGCACAGTGCAGAAGTGACCTAGAATTCCTAGATGTTCCAGAAAGTCTACCTAAATACGGAAATTCCACAGGCCTGTGACTCTGACCAAGCCAGGCTGGCCAAGCCAGAGTCTAAATCCCATTCAAACACTTAGCTCTACATAGGTGAAATATTTTGGATATTTGAATGAGCAAGTATAAAATGAATATCTTTCCCCTCACATTGTGTATTAGAATGCTAGGTGTTTTACTTACATACGCAAGAGATAACTGAATTTGAACATACTTCATATTCCTTTATTTGAATCCTAAATAGTCGTTGCACTGTTTTACAATAATCAGATAGTTTGGGAAGTTCATGAAATGGTTTCCATAACTATCTTGTTGATTTGATGGCATAAATACCCTGTCAGATCAATTAATCTGCATACTGTGAAGTACTTTGCTTAAAGCACAGACAGTTGGAAATTGTTCAGCAAATGAGCTGGAGGCAAGGCTATTAGATTTCCTTTCTGTTTCAAATGGAAATGCCTTTGGCAGCTCGGATCATATGAAATATAATTAAAACCCTAAGATGGAAAAGCTAAAATAGTGCCCTCATTGTTATTTCTGTCATATCTGAATCCCGACCTTGTTTGTAGGGCACTTCTTGTATCTGGAGGCTACTCCTGTGGGCCTTCAGGGTGAAGAAGCACACCTGAAGAGTGCTGTGTGGCAGGAATCCAGCGCCGCCTGCACCATGAGCTTCTGGTATTTCCTATCTGCAAAAGCCACAGGGTCCATCCAGGTTCTCATTAAGGTAGGATTTCCACCTGTGATTCCTCCCAGCTTTCTGAGGATTTCTACAGGCCGTACATGGCCAAAGGGTGTTTATTAGAGCTCTGATAACTTGGCAAGGAGGAGCCTTCCTTTCATCAGAGGGAGATGGCGCTTGTGGTTAAGATGCTCTGTGGGGTTCAACCACCTGTGGTTCAAATGCTCTGTGCTAAGCTGGGGCAGGGCAACCAGCTTTGAGTTCAACCTGTGCATACCTGTTGCTATGACTAAATCCAAGAGGCTTCTTTTATGAGAACAATTAATCTAAAATGTGTAAATTCCTTCTTCTATTTAGGTCTTTCCTTTTCTATGCTTCTCAATAAAAGAAAATAGATTATTTGTTCATCCAAAAAATGAGCGACTACCCATTTTATCTCATGTAGGAGTGATCATTAAGGGAACTAATAATAGATATTCCGGTTCTAAGCACACTGTGCAAAGGACTGAACCACTAAGGAGAATGATCAAGGTATTATTACATTGAACTGCTCATTAATGGTGACACAGTAATTTTTTTTTTTTTTTTTTTACACAGGATTAATTGGATGTTTCTGTCAGGGCTTTAATTTAGTGTAACAAAGTGACAGTGTTCAGGGAACAAAATAACAAAACACATATTAATATTATTGGTACTTGGTTCATATACCTTTAGATACTTTGGCAGGTTAAAACAGCCTCAAAAAGGAGGTGAGCGTGTATGCATGTGTGAGTGCATGTGTGTGTGTGTGTTCATCATGTTCATTTCAAGAATCTAGTTAGAATTTCAAGAAATCGTCCTTTAAAAACATAAAAACACACTCTATAGGCCGTTGCTGTTTTTATCACATGAGTCTGGTGATGTGCCCTAGTACTAATGAAAAATACCTGACCTGAATATCAAAGAGCTCTTGTCTGAATAGCTAATTCGCGCATAGTCCATGTTTTATCTGAAACCTGAATTGACTTTATAATTTAGGGATTTTTCTATACTGATGCAGAAAAACCTGCTTTATAAAATGCATGCAGCAAATATCTCAGTGATTTGTTCTTATACTTAAACATGGAAACTTGCTGAAATATAATGCTTAAAGTACTCACAGAAGTATTTCGCTTATCACTCTTTTAAATGTGATAACTTGATTACAGAGTATGCAACACGTGAGTAATTTGGTACTGCTCTGTGGGCTTTGCTTTTATTATTTGCTTTACTAATATTTACATTTCAACTCTCTTACAACCACAAGCTTTATATTACTATAAAATGTAAAATTAAATGATTTCGGGATATTAGTCTTCCTACCGAGTAAAGTCATATGTAGAACTCCTGTGGTTCCTCCAATTGATTCCTATGGAAATTAAATAGCATTTTAAACGACTTCTATTTCTACTGTAAAAAAAAAAACTTATTTTTTAAAAATATGCCTACTTTTATGTAGTCACGTGGATTGTGGAGACAAGTCTTTCATTACATACATTAATTTTATATTCAGGAATTTTAGGGCAATCGTTTCATTTTGGCAATTAATAGGATACATGTTTTTGATCATCATTACAAAGTACTTCTTAGGCTTCTCTTTGTGCGGAATCATGCTGGATTTTACCCTGCTCATTAGTTTGAAAGCATCCTAACCAGATGGCAAACACAATAGGGGCAAGGATTCTGCCTTTTATTTATCTCTTTTTTTATTCCTTATCTTTTAATATTTGCCAAATTTATCTATGCGTCCTACGTAGATCAGTTGCTCTGCCTGTTTTCAGGAATGCTTCCCGTTTTTCCTTCCACACCGAATCCAATACAATCTGGAGGACTCACTCCTTTCACCAAACTTTCCTTGAGTGCTTTTGCTCATCATGAGTATTCCTTCTCTGAGCATCCCTCACAGCTCTAAACATTGTTTCTGCTCACCAGCTGTTAGGCTGTATGTATTCTATTTCCATACATACAGAGTTTAATAAGTTGTAAACTCAGGAGAACAAGGCCTTGAAATTTTACTCTTCGAGCTGTTCTACTCTGTCCTTTAGGATCGCTATGGGTCGGAATAGACCTGACAGCAACACATTATACCCCTGTCAGCTTAAATAGATTGTAAATTCAGGAGAACAAGGCCTTGCCCTTGTGGTGCAGTGGTTTAACAGCTCAGCTGATAAAAGACTGGCAGTTTGAATCCACCAAGCCACTCCTTGGAAACCATATGGAGCAGTTCTACTCTGTCCTATAGGGTCACTATGAGTTGGAATTGACTCAATGGCAACAGGTTTGATTTTTTTTTTTTTTTTCCCCTCTGCTCTCAGCTCTTAAGAGGTTGAATGAAGGGAACTCGGGAAGGAAGTGCGCCCTCACAGAGCCCACTGCAGGACTTGGGACATGAATGACATTAACGTCTAATCGGAACAGTTATCATCTAAATCTAAAATATATATGTGCAATTAGCTGTAAAAGACATGCAATTGTTGAATATAATTTAATGGCGATGTAGTTTATATGGGGGAGTATTGATTACAGATCACAACCCCAATAATATATATTAAGAGATACCATTCATTGAACATCAGATACATGCTGAGCAACTACTTCTATCATTCCGTGTAATTCTGAGTTAAATAGTGTTAGCCCCATTTTACTAATGGGTAAAGGAGTCTTACAGAAATCTATTAACCGCCCTATGGCTACATAGCTAGTCAGTGACAGAGTGGGAATTGGAATCCACATATGTCTACATCCAAAACATGTGTGCCCCTACACCAAGTGTTCCACTCTGACTCTAATAATGAAATGCAGAGTCTGTTTTCCTAAAATCCGTATTCAGTAAATGAATGCATGGAATTATTTTTTATAAAAACAAAATGAGTAATATTGATAGTTCTTAGAATGGAGTAGAATGGTTCTTAAACTACTCCTGTAGTAAAAGAGTAAATTCAGGGAAACTTTACCATAATAAAGCAAAGCTATCGCCTTAGGGAACAATAAGGAGCAGTATCATTTTACACATTGAATTTTTATATATTTATATTTCCTGTGTTTACTTATATAAGAGCTACTTTTTATTAAAGAGATACCATTGACATAAATGTAATCATTGTCTCAAATCAAGACGATGGAGGAATGAGAGATGAAAAAAATTTATTGAGAAATTGTCATTACATTTTTCTTTCCTTTGAAGTTTGCTTTAGCTATAAACGCAAAACATTGAAATAACATAGCTAAACTTTTTTAAGAGGAATAATAATCGTGTGTATATATACACATATATATCTATGTATATATACATACATATCTATGTATATATATGTATGTGTATATATACACATATATATCTATGTATATATACATACATATCTATGTATATATATGTATGTGTATATATATATATGTAAATCAGTATTTTATGGAATCAGAATGTTTACAGAGTAGTAGGGTTATTAGCCATCATTCACTGCTTGGGCCAAGCCAAATACTTTGTGACTGGAATTCAGTCCATGTGAACCAGTTTGAACTTGTGTTAGTACTGACCTCTATTATTACTGCCCTTATTTTTATGGGTGAGTTAATAACAACTCAGAGCAGTAAGTCCAAGTAAGTGAACAATCTGGGACTTTAACTCAGGTGTACTGAAAAATTAAGATTAGAATGCTACATAATCTGTTTGGTTTCTGTCCTTCTGTAGAAGAGAATTGGATGTTAATAAACTAAGTTAAAATAAATGGGCCATGTCTTTTGCTGAAACCCATTAAAACCCATTGCCATTGAGTCAATTCTGACTCATAGTGACCCTATAGGACAGAGTAGAATTGCCCTATAGGGTTTCCAAGGAGCAACTGGTAAATGTAAACTGCTGACCTTTTGGTTAGCAGCTGAGCTCTTACACACTGCACCACAAGTGTTCCATACCTAGTAATAATTCATTTTTTAAAATAACATACCTATATGTTATTCATAAGCACTGTTATGGATTGAATTGTGTCTCTTAAAAATGTATATCAATTTAGCTAGGCCATGATACCCAGTTTTATGTGATTGTCTACCATTTTGTGATGTGATGTGATTATGCTATGTGTTGTAAATCCTAACCTCTATGATGTTAATGAGGCAAGATTAGAGGCAGTTATATTAATGAGGCCGGACTCAGTCTACAGGATTAGGGTGTATCTTGAGTCAATCTCTTGAGATATGAAAGAGAGACTCAAGCAGAAAGGAGAGGGACCTCATTACCACGAAGCAAGAAGAGCCAGGAGAAGAGCACATTGTTTGGACCCAAGGTACCTGCACCGAGAAGTTTGTAGACCCAAGGGAAAATTTATGACAAGGACCTTTCCCCAAAGCCAACAGAGAAAGAAAACCTTCCCCTGGAGCTGGCACCCAGAATTCAGACTTCTAGCCTCCTAAATAGTGAGAGAATGAATTTCTTTTTGTTAAGGCATCCACTTGTGGTATTTCTTTTATAGCACTACTAGATAACTAAGACAAGCATATATCATTTTTACCTAACTTTTACTTCATTTACATTCAGTTGTAAATTTCTCATCAAATTTAAATGCATTGTTTTTCAGACCACTTAAGATTTAAAACAAAAATGAAACCAGTATTTACTGCACAGAATAAGGGTGCTCAACATAAAAGTTAATTTGTTTTACAAATTTATTTAATTTTTCTTCCCACGATTTTACTCCCCCATACGTCTGTCAGTTTGTCGTGCTGTGGAGGCTTGTATGTTGCTGTGATTCTGGAAGCTATGCCACCGCTACTCAGATACCAGCAGGGTCATCCATAGCGGGCAGGTTTCAGCTGAGCTTCCAGAGTAAGACAGACTAGGAAGAGGAAATCGGCAGTCTACTTCTGAAAAGAATTAGCCAGTGAAAACCTTATGAATAGCAGCGGAACACTGTCTGATATAGTGCCGGAAGATGAACGCCCCAGGTTGGAAGGCACTCAAAAGACAACTGGGGAAGAACTGCCTCCTCAAAGTAGAGTCAATCTTAATGATGTGGATGGAGTCAGGCTTTCAA